ACCTTGACCTGACCTCCACCAGAATGTAACCTAACTGGCCCCAATGGCCCACACCATTGAATTGTAAATGTAAAATTGGCCATAAAACATGTATCACACGACCCTAGCATAGTTGGGTTCATATTGTGACCCTTAGTGACCTGACCTCTGTGAACTGACCTGGCATCAATGACCTCTTTAGGCAACATATGTATTAGACAACCAACGCTCCATCGATGTTTTTCGATAACATGCCTTTTATTTGATGTGTTAACTGACTGTAAACGCATTCCTTAGACTAAATCGGTAAAAAAATGCGACCTTTGACCTGACTTGTGACGTCATGGGTTGCACCTAGGTCAACGAAACCTGGTAACAAGGTAGTTCCCTGGTGGGGCTATCAAACGCTCTCTGAATGTTCAAAATCGGTCGGTAACTTTCCGAGATCTCAGGTGGAATGCGAAACGGCTGCACCACCCCATCAGGTGGTAGGGTCCGCCAATAGCCCAACGGGGCGCGGATTATTTATTCACTCATACAGTGTCATTTATTTTGAGAACACCTTTCTTACGCCATGGCATGGTCCTCTCGTAATAGAACGAGATGAGGAGAGTGTTTTCACGCCTCCTTATGCACGGCACTAAGTGTCATTGAGCTATCAACTGTCAGCGGTTTTCGGACAACGAAGTTCTTAACTAGTTCTTACGTAAATCCAATTTATTTCAAACGATTGTCACTGTGCTAGTTTTCTTTTTATACGTTTTTGAAAAAGCGCTGAAGAAGTCTTTGATAGACGAAACCGGTCCGCTTATTCTTTTTCTATAATTGTTTTTTGAATATATTCGTAGACTACTGGCTCTTTACTGCAAAATTTGAGAATGTTTGGTATTACTTTGACCCGAACGATGTGCAGCTGAATTTTCCCTCTTGAATGATTATAGACAGCTCGCGAAATTAATTTCAACCTAAACTACCGACAAGCAGAAGAAAATCCGATACAAGCCTACCTCAATCCTCTCACCTTATTCGACCGTTGAAACGTTAAAGGCATTTGTTCAGTCCGAGTCGCTATGTCGACCACCCGCGCCGTGCTGGGGGGGGGGGCGTTTTTACGCCCTTCCCCCCTCAGGTTTTTCGCGAATATCTCAAAAAAGGCGACGCGACGCGTAGCGTCATTCAAGGTCAGGTCACCAGGTAACGTCAAGTGACCTTACCTCAGAAAATTTTCGAAAGCTCGCTGTAGCTACACCGACAGAGCGATTACTTTAAAACTTTCAGTAATTACTTAGGGTAACAGTATGTATAAAATGGATACCTCGGATTTTTTTATGTCTGTGACCTAAGGTCAGGTCAATTTTGCGACTGCTCCATTAGGTATACCTAAGTCAATGGGAGAAAATTGAAATGCGCCTCTTTTGGACGAATTTCGTTCTACACCCTCTCAAACATCGGTCCATAGGTAAACATGACACACTGAATCGGAAAATTGCACCTGTGACCCCTGTGTGTACCCCTGAGGTCATTTTAGGACATACAAGGTCTCCAGCAGTTTTTTACTTTTGACAGAGACGTGCTAGAGCGGTGAAAACACCGTTGATCTGAGGTCAAATTTGAGGTCAATCAGAGCGGTGCCCTCTGGGGGATAAACCGTTGATCTGAGGTCAAATTTGAGGACATGTTGGCGAAAGAGCGTTAAAAGAGCTATCGAATGCGCTTCTCGGCGGCACTGTTGCTCTATTGGTTCCCGAGTTAGCCGTCGGGTGTTCAAAATCGTTGAAATCAAAATTTGACCTTTGATGAACCCTGGTGACCTGACCTTTGCCCTGACCTTAAAATGACCGAGTGTTTTCCTCCTTACTTTTGACGCTCTTTCGATTGCCGCTTACCGCGTGTCGCTACGTGGCCCAGGAGCCGAGTTAGACGGAGGGGCGTGAAACGCCCCCCCCCCCCCCCCACCAGCACTCGACGGAAAGTTCATGCCACCAACACGGCGCGGGTTAATTGTTATGTTAGCTATAAGCTAGCTCCTGTTGTAAGCTGTGGAGTCGTGGACCTGATCTTGAAGGAACTGGGCCTAACATTTTCATAGTAAACGTAAAAAAATGTTTAATAGGTTGTGCAAAAAATTAGCATCTCTTTTATGAAACATTTGCGAAACCTTCAACATCATCCCCAGACCCCATTAGTGCCGAGCTCCCAACGACGACCATAAAAGCGTCCCCATCCAGTCATAGGCGGCGGAACGGGGAGGGCACTGGGGCACCGTGCCCCACTTTGATTTTGGCATTTCAACATTAGCCCTATGAGCGTTGCATGGAAATAATAGGACCAAGAGTCGGCAGTGCCCCCCCCCCCTTAATTGAAGGTGTTCCGCCGCTACTGCATCCCGTCAACGTGGGTTTATCATAAGGATGCTAAGATTTAATTTCCAATCCGGAGCTGTAGGTAATGATGGAAGGCAAATTTACATTTTACATGTGAAACAAGCTGACACAACTAGGTAAGTATTTCCTCTCTCGCACCCTCTCACTGATTTACCCATTGCACTCTTTCTCATTTTACCCTCTCTGGTTTTCCTTTTCGGTCTCTCTTTTCTCTCCTCCCGTCCTTATCCCTTCCCTCCAGTCTTTCTTAGCCCTCTCTCACTATCTCTCCCTCTCTCTCTCTCTCGCTCTCTCTCTCTTGCTCTCTTTCTCTTGCTCTCTCTCTCTTGCTCTCTCTCTCGCTCTCGCCTCTCTCTCGCTCTCTCTCCTCTCTCTCTCTCGCTTTCTCGCTCTCTCTCTCTCTCTCTCTCTCTCTCTCTCTCTCTCTCTCTCTTGCTCTCTCTCTCGCTTTCTCTCTCTCCCTCTCGCTCTCTCTCGCTATCCCTCTCTCTCCCTCTCTCTCCCCCTCTCTCTCTCTCTTTCTCTCTCTCTCCCTCTCTCCTCTCTCTCTCCCCCTCTCTCTCTCCCTCTCCCTCTCTCTCTCTCTTTCCTCACAATATTCTCGGCTGTCGCAGCGTTGTAGGGCTTGTTTCCAGACAGGTCCAGGCGCTCCCCACTCCGCAGGCCCCAGCCCACACGGCCCAACCGCTCAAACACCCTTCGGCGGATGACCTCTGACCTCGGCAACCTGATCCCAGCCGACCGATCGCGTCCCTCTCCACGCCTCCGCCCCGCTTCCCCCACTACAGCTGCGTAGTAATTGTAGCGTGTGCAAAGGTCACGTGACATTATTTACTTCTGCGGCTTGTTCGGCTGACAAGAGATGGCACTAGTGGTCTGTGGATCAGAGGCGGGGCTAGGTTCTACGACTTCTTGGGGCTCACTTTAGGGCAGAAAAGAGGTTTTTTGGCTCCCCATCCCAAAATGCTTCGAATATACAAAAACAAGTTAGATATTCGAAAATCGGAGGACCAAACGGATCGTTTGACGTATCTTGCGCGACTGAGAATTGATCGGTCTTCAAACTACTGAGCAAAAACGAGGTGATTAGTAGCAAGTGCTGGTGACTGTACATAAGCAACTGCGGGTCCCAGTACGCGCGCGCTGGGTACGGCCCCGGAAAAGACTTCCGTTCACCCCCTGACCGGTCAGGGTCACAAAAATTCGAAGGTCACGTGACTAGAATGTAACCAATAGGGGAAGTTGGGGCAATGCCGGAGTTGGGGCAAAGCCGAAATTCGAGATATTTCGAAAACCGTAAAACATGGATGCCACCTGTCAGTGATGCTCTGAAGCTTAAGTGACTACAATTATCGCATGTTTGTTACGAGTCGTCATTCGGAATACTTCGACTGTGAGGGCGCCAAGAGCGTTTTCAAGGTACGTTTCCCTTGTACTACATGCGCCTTTGAAGCTGCATTTTTTACTCATTATGCTACCGTTTGTCTGGCCAATTCGGTCAAGTAATCTTTAGCATGTCTTTGCATAAGTGTGCTGCCTATTTGAAATTTATACAGCACGTTGAAAAGTTATGGGCCTGCAAATGAAAGTATGGCTGGCTGGGGTAATGCCGAAAACGTGCGATTACGCACGTGTTAAAAGCACGCTACGTGGACTTTACTGCTGTAGAATAGCAACGCGTATTTTTAGTCACACAAATTACACTTTCAACCGACACAACGGCCTGTTACCTATAAGGAATGATTTACCTGGCATTTTCTTATTATATCACACAATTATAACTTCCAGTGTGCACCGCGTCCTCAAGCTCTTGAAACGTGTGTCAGCTTTGGTGAATTCTGGACAAAGTTTGAGATAAAATGACAAAACATCAATGTCGGCATTCCCCGTAGATCATTTCTCCCATTTTCGGCTTTCCCCGCAGTCCGGGGCAACGCCGAAAAAGTCAGTTCTTTGATATTTTTAGTTTTTGCGCTTAAAGGTATGCGAATTCATCAAATGCGCCTGGTATGTTTGAAAGACAAAAGACTGGCCTCTCGAATGACGCCAACAAGAATAGCTTATGTTGTCTACCTTGCGTGCTACGGGCGTCAGAAAAAAAGTATTCGGCGTTCCCCCAACTTCCCCTATGGTTTGGCAGCCAGTACCGGCGAAATTATATCAAAATTGCGCAATAGAAGGCAGAATAAAGTTTGTGGGAGAGTGTGACATTAATTTTGGGACACCCTGTAGGTAGGTTGCCTTAGTGCGGAAATCTGAAAAAAAAACATGGGGGGGGGGGGGGCGAGAGCAGCATGAGGGAGCCGAACTCAAGACTCGGGGCCGAGGGCCGCTTAAAAGCATACAAATTGACACCGGTGGCTTTTGGGCTCCAGGGGGGTCGTGGCCCCTTGGCTACGCCCCTGGTTGTAGATATGACATAAGAGTGATTTGATCCCCCTATTCGATGAACTGAAACACATTCGATGAACTGTTTCAGTGAACTGAAACATTCGAGTGTGGGGGTGACGAGGTGGGGTTGGGGGATTTAGCTAAATGTGAAGTAGCTTATCAACTAGTGAGCATTGTTGGCCCTTGCTGCGGTGGTTTCGGGCCGGCGCGCCGATCACCTCCTTGTGTGCGTGCCTCTGTCGCCAGGAGGAGCAGACCTCATCTCGCAAAGTCAACCAGCACCGGCGCCGACTGCGCGAGGGAGCCGACCGTCAGCGACCCCCCGGTACTGGCCAATGGGCACACAGCAGTGGTCCGCTCTGCAGCTGCTCGGAGAACCGACCGGCCTTTCCGCCGCCAGCGTCTGTCTGTCTGTCGGTCGGTCTGCCGGTCTGTCTGTCGGTCTCTGGAATGTCTCTCTGTCTGTCTCTGTGTCTGTCTATTTCTCTGTGTCTGTCTTCCTCTCTGTGTGTCTCTGTCCCAGTCTCTGTGTCTATCTCTGGCTGTGTGTCTGTCGTCTCGGTGTCTGTGTCTGTCTTTGTGTCTGTCTCTGTCATGTTGCATTGTGAACTTTGTTTACTTGTTTGTTTGTTTTTCTGCTGTTACCGCCACTAGAGCTCGCCTGCACAGACAGACGGACGGGAGCTGTGCTGAGCCCCTGTACAGACGGACTTGGACGGTTACGGTCGGCCAGCTGACGTACAGTAGGTCTACTAAAAAAGTATCCCGCTCTAGAGGCGGCCGGCCGGCCGAACCCCCCGCCCGATTCCTTTCCCGCCCGACTCCATTCCAGCCCCGACTCTATTGCACAGGCCGCGGCAGCGACACGGGTCAGGTCGCGGCACCCGGCGAGTGGGTCAGTTGGCGGCCGCCGGCCGTGGAGTGAGGACGCCGTGTGTGGGGCGCAGATATGCCGATTGCGGAGGAGGGGAAGATAGTGACTCTGCACTATGCCGGAAATGATGCCTTTGTGATATAAATTAAACACCTGCAGTGCATATCCTCCCTTGCCCCATTCCTATTTTATCATAATCCTTCAATAATCCGTAATGACCATTCAAAGCAAGCAAGCAAACAAAACAACACGTTTAGCGGCGACATCATCTCGGATAAAAAAGCGACAGTGATGATTAGAATAGACTTAGCGCGAGGGCAAATCGACGGGTATACATGCATCACATACCGTAAAGTGGGGCTATTTGAGACAGTATTTAAAATCGCTTTAAAATGAAGAGCGTTTGATTTTTATGTGATATTTTTGCTCAGGAAGGTGTAGAATCGAGCAGTAAATCGCCTCAGCAAAAATTAACCATCAATTTCAAATGGTTTTTATTTTATAACAATTTTAAATACTGTCTCAAACAGCCCCACCTTACGGTACAGAGTATTTTATTCCCGAATTAAGATTGGGGATCTTGTCCAACAAGTCAGTGGCCGTTCTAGACACAGATAAATGCTTTGTTTTTGGTCGCATCATTTTCTACAATAATTCGAAGCCGAGGTTTAACCCTCGCCGGCCGAGAAGAATGTCTCCATGTATTTTTTTGCGGTAGCTCAAAGCACACTGATGATAGAAGGCTGACATTTCATATGCCTTACATTGATTCAAGCTGGATCATTTCACATCAACCACGTTTTCAGGTCAGGTCACTTAACTATGACGTCTTAAAAAAACCTGTGCACGGTTGTCGGTTATAAAATGATGCAAATCCGCAATGCACTTAGTGTCATATAAGCATAATGGGAAATATGGAAACTGTTAATTTGGCGTCGGAAGTGATCTGAAACTATACCTCAAGCACATGAAATCGTGACTTCATACATTCTTGGCAAGGTCTAATGCTTCACTTTAGCATTGTTCACCTTGCGTGACGTCATTTATGACGTCACTAGGGTCATAGGAGTGTTTCGTCAATAACTCCCGATCAAAATGAGCTAGCCAGTCGGGGCAGCCATCAATGGACTTTGCCAAGACTTGCCGAATCAAATGTTATGCAACATGTCCTCCTTTCAACAGCTTCGTGACCTGTGTTTCCCTAACATGACATTGACCTGAGGTAAACATCCTAAATTGCTTAACCTAAACAAAAAAAGCTTATAAATCGACGCGTCTGAGAACAGAAAACACGATTGTATCGAAATGATGATAATGCGACCTTTCTTGCGAAGCTATTTACCAAAAACCGATCCAATGCCTTGGGGTCCTTGACCTGCCCTAAGAGGTCACTGATATTTTAAAATGGGGTACCAGTCGCTGCGTCAGGTAACGACGCAAGCGCTCGTTTTTTCTGCGAAGCTCTAGCAGCTACATAGCTCAATTATAGGAGCTAAACATGGGGTTGGGGAATCGCTCCCTTCTCATTCACTATTTGGCCGGGATAGTGTTTGCAATTATTGTTAAAATCTAGGATTTGAAGATTTCAAATGACCCATTTCTTCCGGCCCAAGTCTTTCAATTCAAGGTCATAACACCAGGTCACGTCAAGTGACCTTACCTCAAGGAAAGTTCCTGTGCTCATCATATCTAAATACATCGACTAACCGATCGCTTTAGAACCTTCAGCGATTTCAATGGGCAACAGTATATGTATTTGAAACGTTTACTTTGCAAGTTTGACATTGCTGACAGAAAGGTCGGATCAATTTTGAGATCGCTAAAGTCAATAGGAGAAAGTTGAACTGCGCTTTTTTTTGGACGGAACGCATAATAAACACTCTGAAAACATGTGGTGCCTGATGAGATGCAATACTGAATGAGAAAATTGTTTGTTTTGTTGGGAGCCATCTTTTTCGGTCTGAGAAGGCCCTTGCAGAGCTATGACATAACTATGCTCTGGTGTAGTAATTTGGTTGTGCGAGCCAGCGCCAGTGATCTGCGGAAGCGTGACTGTTCCCGTGGGACGATTGCCCTGTCGGGTGGTCCAGCCGTCTCCCCAACGGTCACCCGAAGAGGGTTATGTGTCTTGGAATGGAACCGACATCAACTACAGGTTGGCTGGTGGGGTGACCTCCAGTCCAGAGAGGGAAGCATGAAGACTAGGGGCGATGCGGATTGGTTTTTCCTGAGGATAGCGAGGACGGAAGGAATCTAGCACCCTTGACACTTCCTTATACTGAATGTATCTCAGGCTGTTAAATCTCCTAAGCGTTTTTTTTTTCTCGACATCGTCAAGGTGTCATTAATAAAAATATGAAATCCGGGAGGATAAATTAAATATAGAAATTGTGGCCAACAGAACATTATCAGTTGCGTTCAACATACTCGTTAGCATGATCACACACCCAGCTTACATATGAGCCATCTGCCATGTAATAATTATTTTTTATAGACGTGCTTAAGTTATGAAATCATCTGGCGTTTTTAAAGTTCCACGATACGGATCTAATATCCTGCTATGCATCACGACCATTTCTGGTCAGGTCATGACTTTGAACATAGACCAATTTTTTCAAATGACTTTTAAAGATCAACTTTTGATTCATTCGAAGCGTTTCGATAAGGAGGAACACGAGGCTGGTAAAATTAATTTCATGCAAGTTTTAAGCTAAAAACTTTCAAGTGTTTGTGGAAAAGCAAATGATTTTCTCACAATACCGATGGTGGCAGTTGTTAATTACATGCTAAACGGTTGACCTAAATTAAATCTGACAATATTTTTCAGACATAGCGGTAAACGAGCTGATTGTTGTGTTAGGTTAGGCTCTTTCGGTCGATTTCAGAGTGGGAAGGATGACAGGAATTAGGGGGAGACAGGGGGCCTGGGCGAGAGTCCTGGACCTCATGCTCCGCTGGGGCCGAGCCCATCACGTGTATTGGATTGCCCTGGCACATGGATAGCCCTGGGCGGTGTTTCACGGCCCCGCGCTGCAGCACGCTGCGCTTCGCTGCTGCATTGTTGCGGCGGTTGATATGAATTCGGCTCCACGCTAGCGTTGCGAGCTTCCGAGTCTGTTGATGTTTCCATGGAAATTGGAAACCCAATGCACTGGTGCGCGCACCGCACCCTGTCCAAGCAAAATTTTACCATCGATGACCTCTGGTGACATGACCTCTGGCTCTGACCCAATCTAAAATTGGCTGAAGTATTTTTTTCAGGTATTTGAACGTTGTGCTGAGCATTGTTAATAAGATTATTAGAATGATGAAGAATAAGCTGTTGCTCATTTCTATCAGAAATAGAAAAAATAAACCAATATATATTCGGGCGTGGCCCTTCTTCAGTGGTACAAGATCACAATAAGGTAGATGCCACGTAAAAAACGTAGTCTATCAGATCACTTGCAACCTCTGCACCCAAAAAGCCACCTACATAGGTGAAAGTAAAAGGAGAGTTAGGCTCCGCTTTAACGAGCATCTGCGTGACGCCAAAAACCACACAAGAAACACCCCTTTCGGAGAACACTTCATGACCTGCCATTGTAACGTAGAGCCGAGCCACGATGCCCTCTCCATTACAATTCTTCAAATCTGCAAAGACGTAGCTGAGCTGAAGATCGCCGAGTCCATCGAAATTCGCAATCATCGCCCCACACTCAACACAATGACATCATCTTGGCCGCTCATCAAGCCAGTACCATACTCAGAGCTATAGACGGTCTTGTGATCACGCCAGATAGTACATACTTAGATTTTGATTAGATCACATTATTTGACGCCTTCACTCACTCACACATCGTCGGAACTAATTCCCTTACTCTTTCTTGCTTTTACCCATTCATCCTCCCATTCATCACTTACGTATACACGACTAACACATACACAAACATAGCCCCCCCCCCCCCCCCCCACACACACACCTACACTTACGCTCATGCACTCGAACTCACAAACACATAACAGTGACCATACTGTCTGATGTCTGATGAGGCTGATGTCGAATAGTTAGCAATGTTATACAATAAGTGCTATTCTTGGCATAGGCTATGGTGACAGTATAGGCTATGGCGAATATCATGCCCCGATGTACAGGACGATGATTCGTTAAAATGACCTATCTAGGCATATAAATGTTATGCAAACCGAGCGTAACTGTAACGTATTGAATTGTACCTATGTATATGTATGTACTGTGCAATCATTTATTAGCTATCTAAATCTAGATCGACGCCTATCTTGGAAGCGCATGCAAAATATCTGTGAGTGATTTGATTCAAAATATTGTATTTTGCCTCATCTGTGTCACATACGTCTCTCTTGTTTTATTGTGATCTTGTACCACTGAAGAAGGGCCACGCCCGAATATATATTGGTTTATTTTTTTTTCTATTTCTGATAGAATTAAGCAACAGGTTATTCTTCATCATTCTAATGAAGTATTTTTTCTTCTATTTGCTACTTTTGACGCTACTTCGAATACCACTTAAATGCCCAAAGCTGAGTTATAAGAATGATGCTCACTCCCCATTTCCCCTCCAACAGGGCGTGAGAGTCTAGGCATTCCTGTGGGGCACGGGCTAAAAATGACTATCTCATAAGTCATAATCATCGTGGCCATGAACATCTAC